GTCAGGGGCCCGAGACTGTTCAACTGCCTCCCAGCACACATAAGGGGGATTACCAACAGACCCCTGGCAGTCTTCAAGCTGGGACTGGACAAGCACCTAAAGTCAGTTCCGGATCAGCCGGGCTGTGGCTCGTACGTTGGTTTGCGTGCAGCCAGCAGCAACAGCCTGGTTGATCAGGCTCTGATCCACCAGGAGGCCTGGTCACAGACCGGGCCGCGGGGGCGTTGACCCCCGGAACTCCAGGTAAACTCCAGCTACTGCAAGGACAACAACAAGAACAACAATAACATCAATTACATACGCAGATAAGAGGATAAGTGAGAGTGTAGGGTTCGAGTAAATGACTTTGAGTCTAGTTAGTAGAGCAGCGGATCCTCTAATAAAGTGTGCGTGGTAATGTTAATTCTGTTATGGTCTAAAATATATTCTGCATTGCTCAAACTTATCAATCCAGTTACGTTATTTCGACTTTTTAAAAATTTCGTTCATTTAGGTCAACGTAATTAAAAATTTCGTTCATTTAGGTCACACAGATATTTAAATTTCATGATTCGGATGTTGCGGGGAAAGTGCAGTAATGTGTATGATAACGTCAGTTTTTTTTGCAGATCAGACCCCTCAAGGAAGGTTCCTTGATGTTGGTGAGGGGCTCTTGATTTAGAGAATTGGATCTGTGCTCCAGTTCCCCGAATTAAGCCTGAATGCCTTCCACATCCCCCCCCCAGGCGCTGTATAATCCTCCGGGTTTAGCGCTTCCCCCTTGATTATAATAATAATAATTTGCAGATCAGTTAAATGTAGAATATAATTTAAGTTGTAAAACCAGATGTTTGCATGTGGAATAGTGATGACATGATGAGGAAAGACCAGCTAGAAAACCATATTAAAGTAATACATTCTGGGGAATTTCTTTCAGAAATTCTTTCAGCGTTTGAAAGTTACAGAGGGTGTCAGAGAGTTATCCAGCTGGGTCAGGTGAGAGATTCTCGAGGGTTTCAAGAGTGGTCTCAAGGGCGTCAGAGAGTTCTCAAGAGTGTAACAAAGTTATCGAATGTATCAGGGAGGTGACCCGGTGGCCTGGTGGCTAAAGCTCCCGCTTCACACACGGAGGGCCCGGGTTCGATTCCCGGCGGGTGGAAACATTTGACACGTTTCCTTACACCTGTTGTCCTGTTCACCTAGCAGCAAATAGGTACCTGGGTGTTAGTCGACTGGTGTGGGTCGCATCCTGGGGGACAAGATTAAGGACCCCAATGGAAATAAGTTAGACAGTCCTCGATGACGCACTGACTTTCTTGGGTTATCCTGGGTGGCTAACCCTCCGGGGTTAAAAATCCGAACGAAATCTTATCTTATCTTATCAAGAGAGCCAGAGGTATCTTGAGAGTTAATGATATTTTGAAGACTTACAGTCATCGAGTGTGTCAGAGGAGAGTTCCTCGCGGATTAGAGATTTCTAGACTGATAATGATTTGTTTTAAAGGTGCCAGAAAGAGATCTCAATAGAAAAAGGGGTCAGAAAGTAAAAAAAAAAAATATTATTATGGAAAAGAAGCGCTTAACCTACAAGGGTGATACTGCGCAGCGGGGCAGGGGTAGTGCAGGGTTATAAAGTAGCATGGGTGGAGTGGACGACAGAGGGAGAGTTAGAAAGGGCTATGAGGAGTACTAGAGGCAGCAGCACCAAGGTTCGTGTAGTAAATCAGTTGCTGTCAAAAAGTCAACGAGGGAGTCTAAGTCAAAGGTGAGTCCGTCAGCAAGGAGGGAAGATAAAGTAAAGGCGTTAGAGCGGTGATGACGTTGGATAGACTGGACAGTCTAAAAGAATATGCCTAACAAAAACTGGAACCTGACAAGTGTCTCATAGTGGAACAGGGCGCCTTTCCATGAGATACCCATGAGTAAGACGTGTGTTCCCCATGCAAAGATGGGAGAGTGTAATCTCCCAACTTTGGCATCGATGACAAGAAGACGGCCAGAAACCTATATATGTATTTGGTTTGATAGAATGTAATATGTTATGTGTATTATCAGACCAGCGTTGTTGCCAACAGTTAAGGTGGTTAGAAATTACAGCAAAATAGTCTGTGGATGAAACACCTCCATGTGAAACTGGGAGGTCATGTACTGCTGACCTTGTATATTACAAGTTCATTGCCCCGTACGTCAAGTAAAAAAAAAGTAATTTTCGGTAGAATAACTAATTTTTTTTAAATATACTGATAATTTATACTAATGATTCCTTTTTACTGTTATCGACGCATGTAAAGCTAGGAATATGGTCTTCAACAGAGTGTAATGCACAACCTTTCTGCGACGACGGTAATGGTGTGTGCAGAGAAGCTTGTCACAGTCAAGAGAGCGAGATAGAGAATGGTTGCAGTGTTTCTGGTTGTAAATGTTGCACACTGCAGGAAGCTACGTGAAAACGCCTCTGCACAATGTCCTGGAATGTGTGTGGACTCCAGGAAGTGCACTAAGCCTCTCCATAACTCTCGCTGCTCGGGACGTCACCTGCATTTGTTGTGACAGTAAGCATTTTTGGTCTCTCGTTGCGTATAGATTGATGATGGGTGTTGGAAATTTGTGTGTACTATACGTAAGTATTTCTTGCACCATATCTAATTATTTTAAGTTAAATTCCGTCTCCTAAACTGGTAGCTTTTACCGCATATTACATTCCATATTTATTTATCCTTAGACAGTATAAAGAGAGCTTAGGAGCTAAGCTCTAAAATAGTTAACAGCTAAACATTAAGACAATAAGATAAATATTGTTAAATGTACACATCCTATTTATCTGTTTCAAAAACTTTATATATTTACAAACAGTATATATCTTTTTATTTAATCTTGAATCATTAGATTCAATATTCCACAATAGATCAGTAAAGAAATAACTATAATGTTTGCTGCATTCTTCAGTTTATGAAAATGGTCTGATACAGTGGTTCTTAACCTATTTTGGGTCAACTCCCCCATCCCTATCATGGTTGATTCTCGTCTCCAACCTGTCCTTCCTTCATATAAAATTATAAAATTAAAAATTTAAAGTGTGCTGTATTTAAATAAGAAAACTGAGAAACTAGTCCTCATTTTTAACTCTGTTATTTGTAAGTTTTGAAAAGAGTCTGTTTAAGGAGCAGATCTCAAGTCCACAATATGTAAAGTGAGAAATTATATTTTAGTAAGATCCAGAGTACCTGGGCACCTGCACACGTATTCCTGATACCAGATCCAGAGTACCTGGACACCTGCTCACGTATTCCTGATACCAGATCCAGAGTACCTGGGCACCTGCACACGTATTCCTGATACCAGATCCAGAGTACCTGGCCACCTGCTCACGTATTCTTGATACCAGATCCAGAGTACCTGGGCACCTGCACACGTATTCTTGATACCAGATCCAGAGTACCTGGCCACCTGCTCACGTATTCCTGATACCAGATCCAGAGTACCTGGGGACCTGCACACGTATTCCTGATACCAGATCCAGAGTACCTGGGCACCTGCACACGTAAACCTGATACCAGATCCAGAGTACCTGGGCACCTGCACACGTATTCTTGATACCAGATCCAGAGTACCTGGGCACCTGCACACGTATTCCTGATACCAGATCCAGAGTACCTGAGCACCTGCACACGTATTCCTGATACCAGATCCAGAGTACCTGGACACCTGCTCACGTATTCCTGATACCAGATCCAGAGTACCTGGGCACCTGCTCACGTATTCCTGATACCAAATCCAGAGAAACCGGGGCACCTGCACACGTATTCCTGATACCAGATCCAGAGTACCTGGGCCCTGCAAAACACTATTCCTGATACCAGATCCAGAGTACCTGGGCACCTGCTCACTTTTCCTGATACCCGATCCAAGTACCTGGGCACCTGCTCACGTTTTCCCTGTTTCCCCCGATCCAAGTACCTGGGCACCTGCTCACGAAATCTTGATACCAGATCCAGAGCACCTGGGCACCTGCTCACGTATTCCTGATAACCAAATCCAAGTACCGGGGCACCTCACACGTATTCCTGATACCAGATCCAGAGTACCTGGGACCTGCACACGTTTTCCCTTTGATACCAGATCCAGAGTACCTGGGCACCTGCTCACGTATTCCTGATACCCGATCCAGAGTACCTGGGCACCTGCTCACGTATTCCGGGAAAACCCGATCCAGAGTACCTGGGCACCTGCTCCCCGTATTTTTGATACCAAATCCAGAGTACCGGGGCACCTGCTCACGTATTCTTGATACCAGATCCAGAGCACCTGGCACCTGCTCACGTATTCCTGATCCCAAAGACCAAGTACCTGGGCACCTGCTCACGTATTCCTGATACCCGATCCAGAGCACCTGGGCACCTGCTCACGTATTCCTGATACCAGATCCAGAGTACCTGGACACCTGCTCACGTATTCTTGATACCAGATCCAGAGTACCTGGGCACCTGTTCACGTATTGATACCAGATCCAGAGTACCTGGGCACCTGCTCTCGTATTCGGGATCTGGTCTTTATTGAATGTTGTTAATTACCTGTTATTGTGTATGGGTGTTGTAACGTGTCTCAATTTACATTAAATTTAGTGAAGGTAAAGAATCTGCTAGGCTGCAATTGAAAGATGTTTTAAGGTTAAGTGGCCGAGCGACCCCTTCCCCCCGGTTAAGAACAGCTGGTCAAATGTATGTGGCATAACGACTTGTGACTTGTAAATGGAGTGATGACAATATGACTTTTGCCGGCAGTAGTGGAAAGATTTTTAATACAGAAGAAGTGGCAACTTGCTTCTTAGCCTTGACAGGAATAAATCTGGTTACCATGTGGAAAACCCGGTGTACGCTTTTCCAGGAAAAATGACTGACCAACACAACTGATATGAGGGGAGGGAAGCCAGTTGTAACTTAACCACTGACTGTATTACGGTTAAAATTATAAGCTTAATTATTAAGGGGTGTACCGGCAAGCCAATGGAAGGTCTTGGACCGATGACCAAAAGCTTCAGTGGTGGGTTATCATATGGCTAAGACCTACATTTGGATTGTGCTGCTCAGTTTTGGTCTCCTTACTACAGGATGGATATAGACTCATTGGAGAGCATGCAGAGAAGAATGACTAAAATGATTTACTGGTAAGGAACCTCCCTATGAAGATAGACTTTTAAGCCTTAAATCTCACCTCTGGAGAGGCTAGAACGAGAGATATCATTGAATATAAGTGGATACAGGCATAAACAGGGAGATATTAATAAAGTACTGAGGGTGTCGAACCAGGTAAGAACCAGAAATAAGGGAATAATGGATAAATATAGATAAAAGGACATAGGTAAGTATCTGGTTTTTAACAATTTGGGAATGGAACTCTTCCTAGTGGGGGGAAAGGGGAGGCCTTGTTAGCTTTTAAAAAGAGCTGGGCAAAAATTTTGATGGGAGGGGCGGGTTGATTGGTGTCATTGGGTACGGGGTTATTTCTTGGGTGGCTTTTGGTAAGATCGTTTTGATAAGGGCCGCCTCGTAGGGGCCCGTAGGCCTTCTGCATGTTTTTACATTCTTATGTCTTATTTTTTCAGGGGAAACACTTTCTCTTTTTCTTACGGTTCTTACCCAAACCAAACCCGACAGTAACACCAATTTTTGGTAAGTAAATTCGGTCTGAAGAATAGGCTGTTAACTACCTCCCCAAATTTTATCTTTCCTTAAAAAACTGTTGCGTGCCTTATCCAGTAATATACCCCCAGAATGTTAATAAATTATTGTTGAAAGTTTGTTTTGAATGGCCAGACTTCTACAATTACATAAACTTTTTAAAAATTTTCCCTGACATAAACACTCCTCCAACTGCCCTTCTGTAAGAAAGGGGCCAGATAAGGAAAAAAGGAACCCCAATTAATCTTAAAAAAAATCTATTAACACTTTATTTTCCTCGGTTTTTTAATGTTGATACTTGACTTGCGATTTTTAATAGCCGTGACCTACTCGAAACTCTTTTTGCTTGTATATCGGTAAATTGACCATATGCAACTTTTGGGTTCTTAAGGGGAAACGTTTCGCCCACAGTAGCTTCTTCAGTCCATACAAAGGAGAAGATGAAGAACAGGAAGTTTGAGAACACCCCCTCAGCCTTAGTCGATTGTCAGCCACAATCTTGAAAAGAAGCAGCATATTGTAAAGAAGGCTTATATACTGTGGGCGGGGGGTGCAGCGGTTTGGGGATCACATTTGTCCAATGTGAAGTAGGTCTCCCAAAAGGGGTTAGGCAAGTTGAAGAAAAACCCCTTTGGGCACGACCTACTTCCACATTTGGACAAATGTGATACGCCTAACTGCTGCACCTCATCATCGCCTACAGTATATAACTACTTTTTCGAATATCTGTATTCATTCAAGATCGATGGACTGATTACATCGACCAAGCTGGGGACTATTCCCTCCAACTCCTCCTTTTTTCTTCGCCGTTCCCCTTTTGTGGGGACTGAGAAGCCCTGTGTGGCGAAACGTTTCCTCATTAAAGATACTCAAATTTTCACTGTGTCTAATTTACAACTTTTTGGGGTACTCTAAACCCTTCAGTACATGCTCGATATCAAATAAATTTTCCTCTTTAAAATTTAATTGAAATGCCTTTAAAATCCGTTCCGAAGAATTCCTCCCTTGGGGAGGTAGGAGAAAAAACTTAGTATAACCTAATTAACTCAACGGGTTATTTTTCTATCAAAATTGATTTTTATACAAAAAAACAATAAAAATAACAAAAAACATGAATGAATAAAATTGTCATGTGAAAAAGTGGTGGCTGCCACACCCGAGGTAAAAATAATTATACCTTGACCAATTTCCCTTGCTTCCCATTGAGGTTTTATAAGAAAAACGGAGTGTTTGGAGGCAAACGCACAATCACTAGTTTATAAGTAAAACACAAAAATAATGATTTAAAATAAAATTTTTCGTAAAAACAAAATAAAATATAAAAGAGAATGTAAAGAAATAAATGGTTTTTTAAGAGCACGTATTTACTTTGAGAACAGATGGTGACAAGGTGGAAAGGCAAATGGGAAAGCTGTCAAATCCCTATAAACCCCAACAACAACAAAAAATAACTGTGAAGATTGGGGAGTTCGTTTCGTTTTATGCATTTTTTATCGCTTTAAAACGCTTAGCTATTGCACACTCTTAAACTAAAAAATTGTGAATTAATTGTGAATTTTTTTTTTTTTTTTTTTTTTATTGGGAGTTTTGTTTTTTGTTGGAAAAATTTAAAAAGTGGTTGTTTTTATTGAAATTGAGGTTTTTTTGATTTTTAAAATTAAGGATAATTTTTTTATGTTTGATTTTTTAGGAAGATTTAAAAAAAAAAAATTGGGGTAAAAAAATTTTAGCACAACACAAAGAGTGTTCCCCGGGAGGTAAAAAACTGTTTTGGCGATGTTTTGGGCCCTTCACCCTTTAACTGGGTTTTGGAGTACCAGGGGAAAAAAGACCAAGCGAGACTATAACTCAAAAACTCGTACGTTGGGGCACTCATAAGTCGAGGTTTTCCCCGTATTTTATTTTGAGCTTAGTAATTTTATCGTTTTAATATTCAAGGGGATTAGGGGAAAGTGTTTCATTCCCTCACATACTTAGGAAGGACCTTCCAAATTCTTCAATTCCTAAACTAATTCTGAAAAAACGCTTATGCAGAGACAAAGATTCCACTCATTTCATCGAGACAAACAACAACATGTACTTTTGCAAAAAAGAAGCTTTTCCCCAAAACCACTAGCAGTCATTTATCAAAAAATTTTCAAGAAATATATAAAAATAAGACATACTAATATTCTATGAAGCCACTTTTTGATTCGCCAATAAATACTTAAAAACCATCCAAAGATTTGGGAAAAGCTAATGTGGTCATCGGAATACCAAGCACACTATATTTAACATAGGGTCCCTTACAAAAGTTGGATACAAAAAACACCCCGGGAAAAAATCCCAACCGGACGTAAAAAAATGGAAAATGGAGTTAGGGCGCCTTTTTAAATACATGAAAAGCAAATAAAATTTCTATCGGGAAGACACCCGAACTGCACTTTTCGTAGCAGAACCTTTTCGGGAGAATCATCTCCTTCCCCAAACACGCACCTACTGCATGCTTTACTGGGAAATATAAAATGTATGATATTTAATTATTTAAAAATTATTTATTCATTTTCTATTGATTTTTTTTTTCTTCTTCTTCAAAAAACCGCCGTATCCCACCGAGGCGGGGGGCCCAAAAAGAAAACCAAAAATTTCTCTTTTTAAATTTAGAATTTATACAGGAGAAGAGGTTACTAGCCCCTTGCTCCCTGCATTTTAGTCGCCTCTTACAACACGCATGGCTTACGGAGGAAGAATTCTGTTCCACTTCCCCATGTTTGTTTTCATCTACATAAAATAAATGTTTTATGTTTAAAATGTTTGTGTTCCTCTATAAAGATGCTTGTATTGAAAAAAAAATGATGCCTATGTTCTACAAAACAGATGCCAATGTTCATCAACAAACACTATACAGTATAACCTCTACTTATGAGTTTATCCATTCCGTGACCTTGCTCGCAACTGGATTTGTTCGTTTGCAATCAATTTTCCTCATTTAAATTAATTGAAATGCAATCAATCTATTCTAGTGGAATTCTGTACTTCAATAATTTCCCCTAATATAAACTCTATGGCTTATTTATCTATCACAATTCATCTAATATGACATAATAAACAATATAAATAACATTGAAACTTGATATATACTGTAGAATGAATAAAATATGTCATTATGTAACAGGTCGAGGCGGCCACAACCACTCCCATCTAGTGACTGACTTTTGAAGACGTCTATTATAATTATTATTATATAGTACATTATTATATATGTATTATTATACGTATCATTATTATTCTATTATTCTTATACATATTATTATTACAATATAAATAATTTGTAATTTTTATTCACACAAAAAATAGAAGATTTACTGTTATGCAGACTACTGCCTTATTGCAGTAATTGTATAAATAATGTCAACCCATTCACGACTGCATATTGAAATGGACAGTGATGTCATTTGTTTACTCTTGAACATCGCCGAAGAATCGAACATTTTTGCTAATTTGAGCTCAATTTCAAGGTACTTTTCGTCGTGACAGCAATCAAAATCATATCTATTTCTGTAATATATCTTCCATTCTATCAAATGAGACCAAAAAAAACAAGAATGCAACCACAAAAGCTATACAAAAATACCACTAAGGGGTGGCTGATTGCTGAGAAGTGAATTCCATTATTTTTGCTTCGATTTCTTTCATTTTTGGTGTACGTTAAGAAGCATCTTTCCATCATACATTTTTTTTAAGTTTCATTAACACATTTTTTTTAAGTTTCATTAACATATTCCAACAAACAAATGAGATCCAGTTCCCTAGATCAAGAAAAAGAGCCCTTCACCAACTCATGGAAATTTCGCTCGCATATGGAAGCAAAAAATCGGCCCATTGAATGCTCGTATTTGGAAAAACTCACATGGATGTGCTCGCAAGTAGAGGTTCCACTGTACTTGTTTTCTTAAATGAGTTACTTATTGTCTTCAATAAATAAGAGGCTGTGTTATACAAATGTTTATTTCATCAACCACCATCAGCCTGTGTTCTGCTAATCAAATGTTTGAGTTGTTTAGTAATTGACTGTTTTCCTCAAAGAATAAGATTGTGTTCTACAGATAATTTGTTTCTGATCCCCAATAGAGTGTAATGCTCAGCCTTTCTGTGATGGTGGTCATGGAGTGTGCCGGAGCAGCTGTCTGAGCCACGAGCGTGAGGATGAGGGAAGCAGCTGTGGTGAATCAGGTTGTAAGTGCTGCACAGTGCGCCTCGCTGTCTGTCTCAGCTCCAACAATTGTTCTGGCATTTGCCTCGATTCCAGCCTGTGCACAAATCCCATAGCTAACAGTTCTTGTTCCGGGGATTACTGTGTGTGCTGTGACAGTAAGTAGCCAATCTTTGTTCCGGGGATTATTGTGAATTTTGTAATAATAACTAGGACTGTTCAGGGAATCATCACTGTGTCATGACAGAAATTGCTCATTTACTGAAGATTGTTTCTCAGGGTATTTATCATAAAAACTTCCACTCCATTTGTGCTCTAGTCCAGAAGAAATATATTTATATATTTAAAGTCGATAAATTATTTTAAACTTTTAGCTTGTATAGTAGAAATATTGATAAGAAACAAAAATTTATATATATATATTTTTATAGATTTTCTGGGTATTTGCTATTTGTCAACATATTCTGTGTGTTTCTCAACAAATTCAATGTATGTTCATCAATAAATTCCTGATGTGTTTTTCAGCATACTCAGTGTGCGTTCTTGTGCTTCTCAGTGTATGTTCCATGCGCTTTCCGATATGTTCCATGTGGGATTATGAGGAAAAATTCACTTCTATGTTGATAATTTTGTGTGCATGGGAGTGTGAATGAGGTGTGGGCCGCTTGACTACTGAATCGCTTGTTTCAGAGGAATGACTATCACCCTCTCTCCACAGTACTCTGGAGTAGTTGGTTTGTGGTTTGTTGTGCTATGAATCTAAGGAAGCCACTTGACTACTTGGCTTTCTGACGATCCTCTGTGTATTTATTGTGTGTGTGTATATGTTTATTGCTGCTGTTACCTGTCTTCATTTTGTGATAAATTAGTTTTTAAAGCATAATTATGCTTTATTTTCTCTCACCAGTTTTTAAAGACTTTGGCTTATCAAGTGAGTCAGTTACATACCATGAGGGTAACCAGAGTGTGTGTTTTTTCTCCTCACCCTTGTGCTGTCTCCTTGTCATTTTGGATCTGAGTTCTCAGCCAGCTGGTTGATGGTCTCATGAACAGTTCACCCAGATCTGCGCCTGTCGTCTACCACACTCCACCGTGTTGACGTGCTCTCCTCATTAGTGCTCAGGTTGCCCCAGTTTCAGTTTTCACTTTTAGGTGACCGAATCTTTTGCTTCTTTCTTCCGTGGTGCTTTATGTGCTTCACATTGGACCATAATAGATTAGAGCCAGACTACACTGTCACTGGCTGCTCCATTCCTCTTTCTAGACGAAGCTATGAATTTTTTTGCATGCCTTAGCTTTGATTTATTACCTTTGTATGTTTTATTTTTTCATTATATGGTTCAGTTAGGTAATAGTTTCTGTTTGTGTCTTCTATGAGTAAGCTTTATAAACTTTCTGTGTTTAATGTTCCAATTGGTTAAATATTCACGTATATATCTGGAATATACCTGGTAACAGACCGGGCCGCGGGGATCAACGCCCCCGCGGCCCGGGGGTGGACCAGGGCCTGATCAACCAGACTGTTACTGTGGGCCCCTGGCACTTATTGTGTTGTCTCTTAGCGTAGTCGTGGCTTCCCTGCTTTTCAATGGGATGTGTTGCATCTCCTGCCGAGCCATTTGGTTTCGTAGGGAGTGTTTTCGTGTGCGAATTTGGTAATAATCCATCTGGAATTTTCCAAGTGTATATTATCATGTATCTCTGTCGCCTGCGTTCCAGAGAATGCAAGTCAAGGAACTTCAACCGTTCCCAGTAATTTAGGTGTTTTATCGTATTTGTGTGTGCCGTGAAGGCTCTACAGTATTCTCTAGGTCAGCAATTTCGCCTGCCTCGAAAGGCTCTGTTAGTGTACAGCAATATTCCTGCTTAGAGAGAACAAGCGATTTGAAGAGAATCATCATGGATTTGGCATCCCTAGTTCTGAAGGTTCTCATTATCCATCCTAAAATTCTCCTAGCAGATGTGATAGATACATTGTTGTGGTCTTTGAAAATGTTATTATGCTTCATAATGCTTTTTTATGCAAGTGGAATAAACTTGTCTCCGAAACTTTAAGGCTGTTTATTAACATTCATTGGGAACTTCAACATATTCCTTGTGTGTTCTTCAACATATTCCTTGTGTGTTCTTCAACATATTTCTTGTGTGTTTCATATGTGTATTTCAAAATATTCCAAGTGTGTACCTCAACAGAGTGCAATAATCAGAAGTTGTGTGATGACGGTCATGGAGTGTGCCGAGCCCAGTGTGAGAACAAGGAGCGTGATGCTGGAGTGTGTGATAACACTACTGGCTGCAGATGCTGTACATCACGCATGGCCACATGCGCCAACACTGCTGACTGTCCAGGCGTCTGCATGGACAAGAGAATGTGTACTAATCGAATCAGACACCATGAATGTTCCAGCTCTGATTGCGTATGTTGTGACAGTAAGTGTATGGTGAATGTTCTAACATTCATTGAATATGTTGCGACAGTAAATACATATTTTAATAATAATTAATCTGTGAATAATTTCCTCTCTAATAATGTGTCGAAAATCAATTGACAATGTGCAGTACATTCTACCAAACAATAAAAATCTTCTAATCAACATATGGGTTCATTAATGCTGTGAATATTTATCATCTGGAACTGGATCTGTATTCCAATCCCAAGACATAGAGATTCCAGTCTCGCCTCCCCACAGGTATATATATCCCTCGGATTTAGTCACATATAATCTACATCTAACAATCTCTTAACTTCCACAAACAGTGTTGCCAGAAGGTTCAAGGTGATGTGTAATTAACTAGCTAAGAAAAACTGATGGAAAACTAGATCAAAAACTTGCAAAGTGTTTCTACATCTGTTTATTAATAATAAAAAAGAGTTAATGAATGTAAAGTTAATACCTTGACTTGTTGGTTCTTTTATGTTCTCTAGACTAGGTGGTACTAGTGAGTACTAGGTGGTACTAGTGAATACTAGGTGGTACTAGTGAATACTAGGTGGTACTAGTGAGTACTAGGTGGATACTAGTGAGTACTAGGTCGGTACTAGTGAGTACTAGTGGTACTAGTGAATACTAGGTGGTACTAGTGAATACTAGGTGGTACTAGTGAATACTAGGTGGTACTAGTGAATACTAGGTGGTACTAGTGAATACTAGGTGGTACTAGTGAATACTAGTGGTACTAGTGAATACTAGGTGGTACTAGTGAGTACTAGGTGGTACTAGTGAGTACTAGTGGTACTAGTGAATACTAGGTGGTACTAGTGAATACTAGGTGGTACTAGTGAGTACTAGGTGGTACTAGTGAATACTAGGTGGTACTAGTGAGTACTAGGTGGTACTAGTGAATACTAGGTGGTACTAGTGAATACTAGGTGGTACTAGTGAGTACTAGGTGGTACTAGTGAGTACTAGGTGGTACAAGTGAATACTAGGTGGTACTAGTGAGTACTAGGTGGTACTAATGAGTACTAGGTGGTACTAGTGAATACTAGGTGGTACTAGTGAGTACTAGGTGGTACTAGTGATACTAGGTGGTACTAGTGAGTACTACTAGGTGGTACTAGTGAGTACTAGGTGGTACTAGTGAATACTAGGTGGTACTAGTGAGTACTAGGTGGTACTAGTGAGTACTAGGTGGTACTAGTGAGTACTAGGTGGTACTAGTGAATACTAACTAGGTGGTGCTAGTGAGTACTAGGTGGTACTAGTGAGTACTAGGTGGTACTAGTGAATACTAGGTGCTAGTGAGTACTAGGTGGTACTAGTGAGTACTAGGTGGTACTAGTGAATACTAGGTGGTACTAGTGAGTACTAGGTGGTACTAGTGAGTACTAGGTGGTACTAGTGAGTACTAGGTGGTACTAGTGAATACTAGGTGGTACTAGTGAGTACTAGGTGGTACTAGTGAGTACTAGGTGGTACTAGTGAATACTAGGTGGTACTAGTGAAGTACTAGGTGGTACTAGTGAGTACTAGGTGGTACTAGTGAATACTAGGTGGTACTAGTGAATACTAGGTGGTACTAGTGAGTACTAGGTGGTACTAGTGAGTATTAGGTGGTACTAGTGAATACTAGGTGGTACTAGTGAGTACTAGGTGGTACTAGTGAATACTAGGTGGTACTAGTGAGTACTAGGTGGTACTAGTGAGTACTAGGTGGTACTAGTGAGTACTAGGTGGTACTAGTGAATACTAGGTGGTACTAGTGAGTACTAGGTGGTACTAGTGAATACTAGGTGGTACTAGTGAGTACTAGGTGGTACTAGTGAATACTAGGTGGTACTAGTGAGTACTAGTGAGTACTAGGTGGCACTAGTGAGTACTAGGTGGTACTAGCGAGTACTAGGTGGTACTAGTGAGTACTAGGTGGTACTAATGAGTACTAGGTGGTACTAGTGAATACTAGGTGGTACTAGTGAGTACTAGGTGGTACTAGTGAATACTAGGTGGTACTAGTGAGTACTAGGTGGTACTAGTGAGTACTAGGTGGTACTAGTGAGTACTAGGTGGTACTAGTGAGTACTAGGTGGTAATAGTGAATACTAGGTGGTACTAGTGAGTACTAGGTGGTACTAGTGAGTACTAGGTGGTACTAGTGAATACTAGGTGGTACTAGTGAGTACTAGGTGGTAATAGTGAATACTACGTGGTACTAGTGAGTACTAGGTGGTACTAGTGAGTACTAGGTGGACTAGTGAATACTAGGTGGTACTAGTGAGCACTAGGTGGTACTAGTGAGTACTAGGTGGTACTAGTGAATACTAGGTGGTACTTGTGAATACTAGGTGGTACTAGAGTACTAGGTGGTAATAGTGAATACTAGGTGGTACTAGTGAGTACTAGGTGGTACTAGTGAGTACTAGGTGGTACTAGTGAGTACTAGGTGGTACTAGTGAATACTAGGTGGTACTAGTGAGTACTAGGTGGTACTAGTGAATACTAGGTGGTACTAGTGAATACTAGGTGGTACTAGTGAGTACTAGGTGGTACTAGTGAATACTAGGTGGTACTAGTGAGTACTAGTGAGTACTAGGTGGCACTAGTGAGTACTAGGTGGTACTAGTGAGTACTAGGTGGTACTAGTGAGAACTAGGTGGTACTAGTGAATACTAGGTGGTACTAGTGGGTACTAGGTGGTACTAGTGAGTACTAGGTGGTACTAGTGAATACTAGGTGGTACTAGTGAGTACTAGGTGGTAATAGTGAATACTAGGTGGTACTAGTGAGTACTAGGTGGTACTAGTGAGTACTAGGTGGTACTAGTGAATACTAGGTGGTACTAGTGAATACTAGGTGGTACTAGTGAATACTAGGTGGTACTAGTGAGTACTAGGTGGTACTAGTGAGTACTAGGTGGTACTAGTGAATACTAGGTGGTACTAGTGAGTACTAGGTGGTAATAGTGAATACTAGGTGGTACTAGTGAGTACTAGGTGATACTAGTGAGTACTAGGTGGTACTAGTGAGTACTAGGTGGTACTAGTGAATACTAGGTGGTGTTAGAGAATACTATGTTTTGCTAGTGAATTCTAGATGGTACTAGTGAATTCTAGATGGTACTAGTGAATACCAGCTAGTACTAATGAATACTAGGTGGTACTAGTGAATACTAGGTGGTGCTAGCGAATACTAGGTGATGCTAGTGAATTCTAGGTGGTACTAGTGAATTCTAGGTGGTACTAGTGAATACTAGGTGGAACCAATGAATACTAGGTGGTAATAATAAATACTATGTGGTACTAGTGAATACTAGGTGGTACCAATGAATACTAGGTGGTACTAGTGAATACTAGATGGTAAAAGTGAATACTAGGTTGTACTCGTGAATTCTAGGTGGTACCAATGAATACTAGGTGGTACTAGTGAATAGGTGGTACCAATGAATACTAGGTGGTACTAGTGAATAGGTGGTACCAATGAATACTAGGTGGTAAGAATGAATATTATGTGGTACTAGTGAATACTAGGTGATACCAATGAATACTAGATGGTACTAGTGAATTCTAGGTGGTACTAGTGAATTCTAGGTGGTACTAGTGAATACTAGGTGATACTAGTGAATTCTAGGTGGTACTAATGAATACTAGGTTGTAGTGAATATTAGTTGGTACTAGTGAGTTCTAGGTGGTACTAGTGAATACTAGGTAGTACTAGTGAATAATAGGTGGTACTAATGAATTCTATGTGGTACTAGTGAATATTGGGTGGTACTAGTGAATATTGGGTGGTACTAGTGAATATTGGGTGGTACTAGTGAATATTAGGTGGTACTAGTGGACACTAGGTGGTACTAGTGAATATTAGGTGGCACTAGTTAATACTAAGAGATAATTCAAAGTTTATTCTCTATAAGGATTACAATGCTGAGTTTACATAATTTGGTTATTGTGTGGTTTACATGTAGTAAAATAATAATTACAGAGTGTACCACTAGAACACCTAGCATGGCTAGGCATTTCGGGCAGACTTAGATTAATTCTTAAGTTTAAAATATTACAAATTATGAGGTAAGTTGGTATTATGGCTAAGTGACTAAATACTAGTTTGTGAGTTTAGCAATGTGAATGCTTTTGTTTTGGCACTATACATAGTTTCAGTATTGGAGTATCACAGGCCAACTTATGACTAGTTAAGATTCATTATTTTGAGATTGAGATTGATATTTCTGTTTATGGTCAAATGGATGAGTGAGTGTAAGTGTGAACCACCAGGTGGTATTCGTATAATTAGTTGACAGGGTGTATCAGGGAGATAAGATGTTTTCTGATGGTGGTTTTGAAGGTGATGAATGTGTCTGCAGTTTTAGAATTTTCAGGTAGGGTGTTCCAGATTTTAGGGCCTTTGGCATGCATTGAATTTTTGTAAAGGTTTAGTCGGACACGGGGAATGTCATAGAGATGTTTGTGTCTGGTGTTGTGCCTGTGGGTTCTGTCACAACTATCAAGAAAGCGTTTTAGGTCAAGGTTAATATTGGAATTTAAGGTCCTGTAGATGTAGATTGCACAGTAGTAAGTGTGGATGTACTGAACAGGGAGTAAGTTTAGATCTATGAAGAGTGGGGGGGGGTGTTGCCAGGGATGGGATTTAGTGATTATTCTTACTGCGGCTTTTTGTTGGGTTATTATTGGCTTTAGGTGTGTTGCTGCAGTTGAATCCCAAGCACAGATAGCATAGGTGAGGTATGGATATATAAGTGAATGGTATAGTGTGAGAAGGGCAGTTTGCGGCACGTAGTATCGTATCTTGGAGAGGATCCCAACCGTTTTGGATACTTTTTTGGTTATGTGTTGGATATGGGTGCTGAAGTTCAGGTTGTTGTCGAGGTATAGGCCTAGGAATTTACCCTCATTATGCCTGGCAATTAGAGTGTTGTCGATCTTAATGTTAATTTGAGCATCTCCTGCTCTGCTACCAAACATAATGTAGTAGGTT